ACACCTGGAGCGGCTGATTATTTTGTATTACCCATGTACCGCACCTGGCAGATAGCCTTTGCCAAGATTTGTTTTAAACGGACAAAACCGCGCAATCTGACCTGTCACGCAACGCGAGCGGCTGCGTCGACGCCGACCGAAAGACAGTCCCCCACATTCCGAACTTACTGAGTCCTGCGCCGTCACGGCCAATTCACACTATCAGACTGCCCCTATATGTATGTTTGTACATCGTTTGGTACTTACTTGCTGTTGCCCATATAGAAATCCGTGCTTCGTCAGTGACTACTTCCCGCTCCTACTGATTGCGTCATTGTTGATTGTACATTTGCTTAATTCATTTGCTTAATTTGTTTAATTTGCTTAATTCATGATGCTCACTAATCCGTTTGTATGTAGAACCAGTTCCTGTCAGTCCTCAATATATCATCTGCTGCCCCACGTCCGTCTGCTCCTATTGACTACTGGCTGCGAACCGCGTATGATCCAATAGTCGCAATCGTCCTGTGAGATCCATATCAGTCCGGATCTTACAACACCCGACCTTGAAATTTTAGTTCCGCGGGTTTTTGCTTGGTTGGTGCCGCCCGAATTTTCCCGAGATCACCGTTAGTGGGATACTTTCTGACCTTCAGTCTCACCTGGAAGCGGATGTTGGATTCGACATTCAAGCGTTGGCTATATAGTTTCCAGTTCCTCGGGCAGAAGTCGACGATTTCGATCGTGCCATCTTATGTTTTGGCAGCAAGAAGCTCGTGATTGTGAAACATATTGAATCTGGCAACTCGAAAGGAGATTCACAGTCTGCCAATTTCGAAGTACGCCGTGCACCGTGTCTAATCGAGCAGTCAAGGTCATTTTCCCTCGTTAGAACGACGGGTAAAGCCTTTCCGGTTGCGCTGGTACTTGGTGAATTTTTTTATCACCGTAGAAGTTTGCTTTCGAGTTCTGCACGCTGTAGTACGATCCTTTGTTCTCCCGAAATGCTCCACGTAGTGCACGAGGTTGTGAACCTAGCAGAACAATCGGCAGCCCAGTTTTTCTCCGAACAGGGTGGCAACGTTTACTGCATATCCTTCAGCAGAGACAGGGGCAGCTACAATGTTGTAGCTGGGGAGATAATGACAAGTGCGCCCCGAAGGCGCCCGCGGACAAGATCTAAACAACTTCTAGTGATCTGGCTACCCTGAAAGATAGCTTATTGGTAGCGTGTGGCAAAGAAATAAAAATAATAACGCTATAGTGAGTATACAATAATAAATAGGTCAGATGGAACAGACTCACTAGGAATTTTTCTCTTTAAAATACTTCGTCGATGGCCCAGGTCGGAGAATTAATAATAACCCAATCATGATTGTCCAGGGCTCCTCTTCTGAACAGTTCTAACGTATAAAAACTCCGACGATCGTCAGAAATGTTTCGTTAGCACGTAAGACTCGTGAATGACTGCTGTAGGCGGGCGCATGTGACCATGTGGGCATTGTATGAAATTGTACAAAGGCGCGTTTTTTGAAGTTTTTCGTGTTCAAACAAAAAACCTTTGGGCAACTGACGAAATACGTTATGTTATAATGAAAGCAGAGGAAAAATACAAAACACCACAATCAATGGAGATGGGTAATTTTTGAGGTAACCTCACCACTGAAAGCATGTTTAGTAGCGTGCCTTAGATGGGAAAAGACACACTTGGAATTTTGGAGGATGAGAAATCAAAAGGCTTTGGCAATAATGATATTCTCATGCCTTGCTCAAGACATATCTTACCCATCTTTCCTAGGCCTCCCGACCTGCCCACTACGGCTTGCCGAAAGGCATGGTTACTTGAAATAACCCTTTATGGAAGGAGGGAGATAACCACAATTCTATTTAAAGGTTTAAGTAGAATGTTTGACAATGTCGGGCTGATATGTTCGTGAAGAGTCGTGTGGCAGCGGGCCATAATGTTTGATCCCGACGAGCATGCATTCTGACCAATCAAAGCCTGCCTACATATAGGCTTTAGTCCGCATGTGACAATCGTCCAATCGCATTTCGTAAAATGCGGAATCGTTGTCCCCGACGAGATTCTGACCAATCAAAGCCTGCCTACATATAGGCTTTAGTCCGCATGTGACAATCGTCCAATCGCATTTCGTAAAATGCGATGCGGTTGTAAGTCAGAAATCCGCCAATGGAACATACGAAAACAAGCCACCATTCTGGACCTCGCTCGAAAAAACAAAAACGTACTGTTCAAGTACATGAGACATCGCCGCAGAAACAAGCCATCAGCGTTCTCCTTGAGGGACAGAAACGGCGAACCGACGAATGACCCAACAGTGGTATCTGAGGCTTACAGAGAACACTATGCATGTCTATACTCAGCCCCAGCGTCCTCGTCACATCCACTCTTGTCAAGGAGAAACTACGAACAGCCTCTAACCGACTTGGTCTTCACGGTGGAGGACATTCGTCAACTCTTGCACAAG